TATTTTAGTTGAACAAATAAGCATTAACATAGAGGCTAGTAGGCTACAGCCACAACTACTCCAAATCAAATAAAATAATGAAAGAGGAAAAACAAATCCATGAGAAATAGTGGAAGTAAAAGAGGAAAAAGGAAAAAGGAACCAAAGCAGTATATACACTATACAGTTGGTGGGTAGTGGACCACAGGAACATCTCAGCAGTCATCTCTGTCCTACACTACACTTCTTCCTCCCTACTCGTCCGTATCAAAACCCCCCCTCTCTCTCTCACTTCCGCCCTATTTCTTCATCCGTCTCTTTCCACTCATCGCTCACTACTTCCTCACTCCCTCTCTCTATCTATCTCTTCCCTGATGGAAAGGGAAATGGAAATGAACACCAAAACCCACAAACACCCGCCTCGTATCTAATCCATCCTCACCCACCCAATTCCTCTCTTTAGTTTGATCAGCGCACCCACAATTATATCTATGGGGCCCTATGGTTCCACCGTTTGCTCCGGCGTCAGCAGCAGCGCCAGCTCCTCGTCTTCCTCCTCCGTCACCAAACCACCCGCCGAGATCGATGGCTATTTGGCCGACGCCGGCTACAAGGTCCGCTCCTCCGACCTACGACATGTCGCTCAGCGCCTCGAGCACCTCGAGACCGTCATGGTCAACTCCCCCAACAACCTCTCCCAGCTCGCCTCCGACGCCGTTCTCTACAACCCCTCCGACATCGCCACCTGGGTCGACTCGCTCCTATCCGAGTTCAACCACCAGCCCCTTATCTCCCTACCATCCGATCTCGACTTCCCTGACGCCATCATCAATCCAACGGACCTCCCCAACGACACCTGGACCGAACCTATTCCGCCGCCTCAGCAGCAGCACAACCAGCTCACCGTCGTCACGGCTATGGAAGAAGATTCCGGGATAAGGCTCGTCCACTTGCTCGTCACGTGCGCCGAATCCGTCCAGCGTGGCGATCTCGCGTTGGCGGGCTCGCTGATCGAGAACATGCAGACTCTGCTTACACGTGTCAACACCAGCTGCGGCATCGGTAAGGTCGCTGGCTACTTCATCGACGCCCTCAGCCGCCGAATCTTCTCCCACCCGAGCGTCGCCTCGGCTCACGAGAACGAGCTCCTCTACCATTACTTCTACGAGGCCTGCCCCTACCTCAAATTCGCTCACTTCACCGCCAATCAGGCCATCCTGGAAGCCTTCCAGGGTCACGATTGCGTCCACGTCATCGACTTCAACTTAATGCACGGCTTGCAATGGCCGGCACTTATACAGGCCCTGGCTTTACGCCCCGGTGGGCCCCCCTTGCTCCGACTGACGGGCATTGGACCGCCTTCGCCGGACGGCCGAGACTCGCTGAGAGAAATCGGCCTTCGACTGGCCGAATTGGCTCGGTCGGTCAACGTCCGTTTCGCCTTTCGCGGCGTGGCGGCTTCGAGGCTCGAGGATGTGAAGCCGTGGATGCTGCAGGTGAGCCCGAAGGAGGCTGTGGCAGTGAACTCAATCATGCAGCTGCATCGGCTTCTCGGATCGGACCCGAACCGGAATTCCCCAATTGAGATGATGCTGGGCTGGATCCGGAACCTGAACCCGAAGATCGTGACGGTTGTGGAGCAGGAAGCGGACCACAACAAAACCGGGTTCTTGGACCGATTCACGGAGGCTTTGTACTACTACTCGACCATGTTCGACTCGCTGGAGGCTTGCGCGATGCAGCCGGAGAAGGCCTTGGCGGAGATGTACATACAGAGGGGATATGCGTGGGGCTGTGCTGTGAGAGCGCGGCTGGAGAGCAAAAACACAAGCCGTTGGGGAAGTGGAGGGCTCGGCTGGGACAAGCCGGGTTTAGGCCTCTGCATTTGGGTTCCAATGCTTTCAAGCAGGCGAGTATGCTTCTGACACTTTTCTCGGCTGAAGGATACCGCGTGGAAGAGAACGACGGGTGCCTCACCCTCGGCTGGCACAGCCGTCCTCTCATCGCTGCTTCGGCTTGGCAAGTCATGCCTATGGCTGAAGCAACCACAGCCAACCAACCGGTTGGGGTTATTAATCAGAATAATAATGCCAATCATGTCTAAATTTCACCTTAGTTTTTTTATTTTATTTTAAATTTTATGAGTTTCTTGCTCTTTTTTCATGTTCTGCTTTTAATGATCCAGAAATGCTTAATGGATGGGGTACAATATATCTAAATATTTAGGTACAATTTTTTTCTTTTCTAAAAAAATAATAATTTCTAATCCTTGATCTTATGTTACGAAACAATTTGACATGTTGTGTTATCGTATTTTAAGTGAAAACAACACTCTATAATTTAAGCCAGTGACAAGGGAATCGAAGACGGGATCTCGAGACCTTGGACCCATGAATCTCCCGAAACATTATGCCTCGATCAACCATCTCATCTGCAATGATTCAGTTGTAATGGCTGGGTTGTACAGAAAACCCAGGTTTCCCAGTAAACTTGTGGACTGAGGGAAGACATAACTGGAGTGATGAATGTGTTATGGAATCTTAGGAAAAGCATGTTCATGTTATGGATGGTCTAGAAGGGAGTCAACGCATGGTGCCGTCCAAGATTGATTTTGTAGAGAAAGAAAAATGAGAAGAAATTGAAATTGGAAAGGGAAAGGGAAAGCACACTGGTAGCTGACGTTTACCATAATGGAATAGGAACCGTTTCAAAGGGTCCAATCTACACGATACCCTCAGGCTAAGCCTAGGCCCTAACCTATATATCATCGACTGCTACCTGCGACCAAACACTAATAATAATTCTTCCTAGGCGTTTGGTAAACGTCTGCATTATTATCTCTCTAATTTATTTTCTATAAACCAGTTTTTATTTTCTTAATTTTAATGATTGTTTTTCTATTGAAAGTTGACGTCCAACTAGTATGGAAATATTAATTAAATGGATTGAGCATGTTAATTATGTTTCATAATCATGAATCCTGAATCCTGAATCATGAATCATGATGATGGCTGGTTCTGGCTGGCCATTTTCGTTTTTGAACTGCTGATTGGATTAGTATCCGGTTTTTCATTTGTCAAAGACTCAAAACACCAGAAGAAACGGAAATGATAATCAATTATTCCGTTTTTTTCAAAACAAACGGACCCTATGTGCGAAACTACATCAAAGAAAATGTCACTTTCAACGGCCAGTACATAATTACAGGATTTAACTCGTTACCTACCCTGTGGAAAAGGGCGAGACCAATTCTTTATGCTCATCTCTCCACGTGAGTGGATGAAACTCCATCTCCTCTAACAAAGCGAAGATTAAGCGTCACTCGATCAAATGTTCATTTATTTTAACAAAAAAACGATAAAATAAAACGAAGCGACCGAGAAACATAAACATAGGACGATGGGCCCATGAACAATGCAACCATTATTGAATTGTGCTTGCAAGAACATCAGGATATATTATATAGCATGTAGCTGATAAAGCTTTTGAAGTAAAAAGCAAGAAAAATGCAGACACCATGCTCACCTTCGCCATGGCGTTGTTTGGTTGTATTTGAGCCATTGATTGTGATTTTCAAAAGACAGATCGAGATGGGTTACGGGTAACGGGTACATCATAAACAAAACTAACAGGACAGGGATCCCATTGGCATTCACTCGCTGTTCAATTTCTGCACAACAACACTTTGTGACTTTTAATTAATCATCTACATATCTCATATGGGTGCATGTGGCTTTGCTAAGAATGGGAAAAGGAAAAGCCACTAAAACCATAACGGGGCCCAGAACCCCGACCCAATAACGTAATAATGACTCAAGAGGGACTCAACATTGCCTCCCACATGACACCACTGTCCACTGCCTTTTGCCACCTCTCCTGCGTAAAGTCCCTCTGCTGACTCATCTACACCACCTGAATTATTATTTCTTTCTTTTTGTATTAAATTTTTTTCATTTTTTTTAATTTAAATACAAGCAATATTCGGAGAGGGGTTCGAATTTGAGACTATTGATATGCATATCAAAACCCTTTTCCATTAGGCTATACCCCGCATTAAATAATTTTCCATGTTTTATAAATATTATTAGAGCTACTACATATTTTATAATTTGGGTGGAATTTGAAAAAATAAATGAAATATTATAATGAAGAAGTTACGTTGGTGGGTCGCCCGGAACCCTAGAGGCCCACCGCTTTGGCCTGTTTTTTAGGTTTTCACGTGATCCCGTTACGGAAGAGGCAGAGGCAGAGCAAGTTGGAGGAGGTGGGCCCAAGTGGCCCACATTGAATTTCTTTTGAAAAAGGACCACCATCACCACGACGCAACCCAAAAAGCCAGGGGGCTGACTGATCTGAGAGGGAGAGGGAGAGGGAGGGGCAGCATATTCACGTGTCAGTTACCTCCCACGTGTTGACAACGATATAACCTCCCTTTCTGTAAATCTTCCCCTTCTTTCGTTCGTTCTTTCTTTATTTCTTTCTTTCTTAGGTCAATTTTTTGGGTAAGCAAGGAGGGCGACTCTTGAATTTAAACAGCCACATGATAGATTATCAGTCATCAACATGGAGGCCCATCAACGAATTGTCCTTGATGTGGACCGCCTGATTTATGATAGACGGTACTTTTTTTTCTCTGAACTATCTTAAAATACTCTAACTTATACGAGTACGGACTCGAATTTGAGTGCAATGAGATATGTTCACCGTCATAACCAACTAGCCTAACTCACATTTAAACAAACAAATGTGAATTATTTCCACAAATCCAAACCAAATAGTCATTATCATTTGAACAATAATGTTAATTTTTAACAATTCCCCATCCAAATCTCAATAGAAATGCATCTTATTTTGAAAATTGAACATTGAGGGTGTCGTTTAATCTGATTGGGCAGGCCGATGTCAAATCCATCGTGTTTTGAAAGCCCACAATGAGGGTGTCGTTTATTTTGATTGGGCAAGGCCCAAGGGGGTGGCCGTTGGGTCCAAAGTTCAAACGACACATCCTTTTTTGGGAACTGCACAGTCAACTACATGTCGTGTGTTATTTGGTAAAGAAAACAAAATAATAGGAAAACTATTGAGGAGAACTGGGAGAGAGGCGAGTGAGGGAGATGACGATAGACGACGAGAGCTCCGTCTACGTTGGAGGCCTGCCGTACGACGCCACCGAGGATAGAGTTCGCAGAGTTTTTGAGTTATACGGTTCCGTCATTGCCGTTAAGGTCACTCCCGCTACTTTTCCTTCTTCTTTTTTGTCCATTTTACTTTGTAGGGTTTTAAGCATTTAGGTTTTCTTTCCCTCATCTGCTGCTTCTTCAATTCTTCAATTTACAGATTATCAATGATGCTTCGACCAGAGGAAAATGCTATGGCTTTGTTACTTTCAGGAACCCTCGGTCTGCAATTCATGCCATCAATGAGATGGATGGCAGGGTATGTTTTATTTATTTAAGTTTATACTTGAACATTTATGTAGTTATGGTGTCTGTGATCGGTTTGTTTTCTTAAAATCTTGAGTGACATTGTTGAGCTTTGAATTAGACTGTTGATGGAAGAGTTATCAGAGTAAATGAAGTGAGGACTAGAGGTGGAAGATTGGGTTTTGGTAGAGACAGAGAAGGTTTTGGACGGAATGTTGAGAGGGGCAGGAACTGGGATAGAGACAGAGATCATGAGAGGGAGTATGATCATGATAGAGACCGGTATAAGGATCGATACAGTGATCGGTCGAGAGAGCACAGTGATCGATCAAGAGAACGTGACCGTGGCCGGTCCCTTGGGGTTGATCAAGAAAGGGATAGAGGGTACGACCGTGAACGAGATTATGATCAAGTAAGAGATCATTTTTTGGATAGAGACCGTCACCAAGACAGAGATTTGGAAGATGCTGAGCAAGGACAGAGCAGGAACCATGATCAGGGTTGGGAAAGAGATCGAGCATTGGACTCTGACAGAGATAGGGAGATGGAAAAAAACAAAAATCATACTACTATAGCTGCCAAGGATAGAGATCAACATTCAAGGAGAAGGAACAGGTAAGATGCCTTTCTTGTTGCTAATTGTTGTTTGGCATTAAACACCTGTCAGAGGATAAGGGTGGAACTGGACTTCATATTTAAATTGCACAGTTGTTAACATTTTGCATACATAGATTATGTTCTTTTGTATTTTATAAGTCAGTTTTAATTTTTGCATCCTCTTAACTTGATCGTGAGTATGCTGGCTAGACTTTCATATAATAACATCCGGAATAATTGATACGTGTATGTAGTTGCATGTTGACTTCTAGAAAGTACATATCCTATCTCGATTACTAGATGACAGAGTCCCAAATGCTTTTAGGAGTTGAATATGACATCTGCATAAACATTGTGGCCACGTTGATCTTATTGTATTTCAGTATCAATTGTGTTTATTGGGAGATGATCAAGAGAAAGAAAGATATGATGAATCACATAAGGGTCCTCTTATGTTCTGGTTTCTTTTCTGCAGTTTAGATTCTGTCGTTTTTCATGATGTTCTGTTTTTTTTTTTTCCTGCAGTTCAAATTCTGTTGACCGACAAAGTAGGGACCTGTTATCCCATCCCAGTGATGATTACGATGATCAGGCAAGTTTGGCATTTTTAGCTTTTCTTGCTAAGATAGTGCCATACATATATAAGTTTGTGTCATCTTAATTAAAATACTTTTTTGCTTGCATTTTCTTCTGTTAAAAATATTAGGTAAAAGAACAGCTCGAGAGATCCATGCGAAGGCTTGAAGAAATAAAAAAGGAGGTCTGTCTTTGCTTAAAGAATTTGAGTAAATAAAGCAATGCCTATACCTTTATTTGTCTGATTATTCATTAAGACCTATGTTGGCATCGTATAGATTTTCTGGGACCATTAAGCAAGAGGCACATTTTCTGGTAGTTCAGCATTAGTTCTTGCATTTGACCTGCATGAAAGTCATAATGAAATTTTTAGGGGGCACTAAGTTTCATTATATGTTGTCAGACTATTCAGATGGAGGAGAGCTTGAAAGAGAAAGGAAAACTAGTTTTGGATTTGCAAAAGAAATCTAAGGTACCCCTGATTGTACTTTGATCCGCATGCATGTCTTTATTCCAAGTCTTCTAGTTTCACATGCTAAACTTGGTTCATGTCCTGCTGAGAATTTGTGTATGCAGAAATTGGAGGATGCATTGATAAATGCAAAGAAGAACTCTTCACACCATAAGATGAAATTAACCAAGGTATTTTCAATTGCTAAGGCTGGTTGCGGATAAACTGTACTGGACACTGATTGAAGTTAATGTTTTTATTTGCAGCTACATAAATCCTTTATGCAAGTAAAAGATTACACTGAAAGACTTAAAAGCTGTGAACACGAACTTCAGGTTGGTGTCTTCTCTCCTCTTAAGCTTGTACAGAAAAACAATGCTGATACATTACCTTGTTATTCATGGTTACAAATGAGTAAAGAAATGAACCATTTAAAGAAAAATGCAAATGGGAAAGAACATTTTCCTTTATTAATATCTGTGAATTGAAGTCAAGTCACCTAGCTGTTTGCTTTCTTTCGTCTGGATCTATTTTGACTGGAGTTGGGCCAATTAAGGCTTTTGTCAAATGGGAAGCCCAAAGTTTGGTCTTCTAAGATCTCAAACCCTCTTTTGATGTTATGTATCTAGTGCAAAACTTCTATATCTATATTTGGATCATTAGATTGCGATAGGAGGGTGATTTAGTGACAGAACTTAACGTATAAACCATTTTGCTTGCAGTCGCTCGTTGATACAGAAATGTTGGAAGATGAGGTTGACTTAAGGGACGGAATCTTGACAATTGGCAATACATGATGTCATGTTGAACCTTGAAAGGAGTGATCTGTAATAGAACTTAACGCATACTGTATATTGTTTTGAGGTGGGGGATTTGAAGCTTTTGTAGATATTTACTCCAAAGTCAGCTGAGAAACAGCTTATTTTATCTGAGATGTATTATATTCTACATCATGTTTTCTGGTGTGCACTTTAGCGCCGAAGATGAGAAGATGGTGATGGCAATGCTAACATGTAACCCTCTTCCTCTTCCTCTGAATTGCTTAAAGCAAAGCAACAGAAAGAAAAAGGCCATTAATGAAGTGCCCGTTATGTGTTTTTGTGAAAAAGCCTCTGACGAGAGATTAGGGTGGAAAGAAGTCTGAGTCAGGCACACACTTTCGGTACCTCTTCTTTCGCGACCCAAGTTTTTAAAGTAGCACAACACATGCTTCTTAGTTAATCCAACAAGTTTCCTTCTCTTATTAGACTTATTTGAAGCAATAAGCTCAAAATTTCGTTTTTTTCTTGGGTACCAAGGATGGCCAAAGCCCCATAACAAGCCCCAGTAGCACATGGTTTTACATTTTGAATTAGGATTCGAACTCCATGACACTCTGGTAATGTGTGACAAACTTCGTTCTCTTTTCTAATTTTGGCAAAAAAAGTAGAGAAAATAAACTGGACAGCGTGTGAGAAAATCTCATTCTCCTTCCTAATTTTGGGTGAAAAAAGAAAAAGAAAAAAAGAAATAGGATCAAAGGACCTCCATGTTGTACAGTAGTCAGTAATTCATGGTGGAAAGCACATTTTTATATATGTGAATTATTCCTTCAAATAGAATCAATCTAAAGGAAAAAGAAAAGGAAAATAAAACAAACACTCACTTTTCCCGTTATGACGTTTTTACCCTCTCTAAAGACCCTAAAACTAAAACTCACACGGTCGATATAATAATATATCATATCACATGAATAATGATAAATTGAGAATTAAACAGGATTAGCGCATACAAACATACAAATGGTAGCCCTAATTTTTAATTAGTCCTAACCCTAACCCTAACCCAAAACCTCCCTCATGCCCTGACCACCACAAGGTCAGAACTTGAGCGTGATCTGACTTCCATTACTGTCCTCAGCATCTTCTGATCTCCTCGAAGCCACCCCTCCTTTTCTATGATCTCCTCCGTTCATCTGATCACCACCGCTCTCTGCACCCTTCCAGCTGCTGCTGTCGGACTTGCCATCTTCGATGCTCTCTGACCGTCCGCAGGCCCCGCGGCCATCGGACTCGGGGGAGCTGTGAGTGTTGGAGGTAGTGGAAGCCCTGTACACGTGGAGCTGGTGGTGGAGGGTGTGGTGGTGCAATTGCTGCGGTGGGGGCGTGGTGTAGAAGTCTTGGGGCATTGGGGTTGCACAGTAGTGAGTTGGTGCATGGGAGCCAGGGTGTGGGCTGTAAAGGGCTGTGGGGCCATTGTGTGCAGCGTTGGCATACTCTGGCGGGACCCAGATGCCACCTAGGACTACCAGTTGAGGCGTTGGGCCTCCGGCTGCTTGTGGGTTAGGGCTCGGTCGTCTTGTGTGGAGCCTGTACTTCTGTGATAAGAATTTGAAACAAAAAGAAAAGGAACAAGGAAATGTTATTTATGTATATATATAATAAGGACAAGACAAAGGAAAGCAAAGCAAAGAGGATATGTATGCATATCAAATGTTTCATGCTGCCAGTGCCTGGCTGCAAAGGCTGCATGTATCAGAAAAAGAGAGAGACACAATATCATTTGTAGGTGCGGTCGGATAAGGTACCTGCAGATGGCTTTTAACTTCATCGTTGGTCAAACCGTCAACCTTCATCTGCTCTCTGATCTGTTTCGGGGTCGCCACTGTCAAATTGACCAAATAAAAAACGTACGTACGTAAACATCAAATCCATATGATTATATTACATATAAAAATAAATAAATAGCAAATTAATACTTAATACCTTGAGAACCACCAAGCATTTGAAGCGCATGAACGAACCGCCGGTGCAAGTCAGGAGACCAACACCTCCTTGCCTTCCTATGAGTTTGAGATTGAGATTGATTGTTGGTGGCTGTGGTTGTTGTTGTCTGTGTTTGCCCCTCTGATATATTTGAATTATTAATTCCACCGGTTGCTAATAATTTAGCTTGTTCACTACAATTGCCATTATTAGCTGATGAATTAATCATTCCATTCTCATGGGTGGTCTCGGAATTATTACATGACTTGATGATCTTGTCCTCCATTAACATCTCTGCTGCCTTGTTGTTCTCTGGGGAGGCAAGAGCCAGCTCTGGGAGAGGCCGCAAAGTTGGGCTTGGGCAAGAGTTGCGGTCTTTGGAAAATGGATGGAAAGCTCCTCCTCCATAGGATCTGTGCTGCTTGGCGTCTAAGCCGAGCTTGGGGCTGACACTAAAGCCGATATCGGTTTCTTTTGGGGATGTTATGGACTGGGGTTTGGTTGCATTGATATGATCACTTGCTTGGCTCCACAGTTGGGCAGAGGTCATCCAATTTGCCTTATCAGAAGTGGTGTTTGTAGTTTTTTCTGAGCCTTCAGTCGGTGAATGTTTAAGAGGTATGAATTCTTCAAGCACTGGCCTATTTGGCCCTTGAATATTTGCTCTGTAAGCTTGAAGCTGCTGCCTTGAAGCCTCCACCGCTGGAATTACAATCTTGATGATTAGTACATAATGGAGAAAAACAAGATATTCTGGTACCCAAAATAAATTAAGCAAATCACCCTGAGTTTCTGTATAGATTTCTTCTATATGTAAATATATTTTAGTCTCTTATATGTTGTCTTTATGATCTTTATATTCATACCTCCTTATTCTTTTTGCCATGTATGGTGGCTTTAGTTTCTTTAGAAAATATGTTGGATATGAATTAGTAGCTACTTTGGACCCATAGAGAAACAGAAAGCTACAATCTCTCCCTTCTATAAATGAAAAAGGGATAAAGAAGTAAAGGGTTGGGAGTTAGTGCTAATTAATTAAAACTTGTAGGAAATTAAGTAACATGAATATCCAAATTGTGGCTGCATGCTAGGTGATGATGATGTATGTACCAGTGGTGAGGAGTTGCATGGAAAGAGGGAGCTCGCGCTTGAAAGCATCAATCTTGAGTCTTTCTTCTTCAAGGCGGGAGAGGAACTCTTCAAGCTTCTGAGTCTGAGACTGGTCATGGTGATGAGACGCCTGCAGGTCTCCAAAAGATTTGAGGAGCATGGAGTAGCTGTGGGGCTTGCAGTCCAGGCTTAGTTCCGAAGGCGATGATGCCATTTACTGATTAACCAATTAATTTGCTTATAAATACAGAAGTGGATATAACAAGAAGCAAAACAAGAGATTTTGGATATCTAACTTTGGTAGCTAACTGCTCATAAAACTGGCCACTGTTTTTATTAGAAAATGTTGACGCCCAAGAAACAACAACAGCAACAGGGTATGTAGGAACAAACAAGAGCAAAAGAGGGTCTTTGGCTCTTTCTAATTTCTAGATAGGATGGTGGTTCAACTTAGAGAGAGAGAGAGAGGGAGAGAGAAAGGGAAGGGATGTTGGTTTGTGAACACAAGGAGGATCGAGGTAGGATCGTCTTCTTTTTAGGGTGAGTTCAAGGGAATAAAGTGGCTTGCTAGCTCTAGCTGGGGGATTAGAGAGAGAGAGAGAGAGAGAGAGAGAGAGAAGAAAAGAAAAATAAAGCAAGAGGGGAGGGGGATAAAGAAGGATGGTAACTTCTTGCAAAGAACAAAGGCAAAGAAAAGCTAAAAATGAGAGAGAGGTTCTCTCTCTCTCTCTCTCTCTCTCTCTCTCTCTCTCTCTGCTGATATCTCTGTCTGTGGCTGTGGCTGTGGCTGTGGGAGAAGGAATCAAGGTGTCTGACACTAGAGGGGTCATGTGCTTAGAGCCTTTGTTTCAACTTAATTCTCTCTCTCTCTCTCTCTCTCTTTCTCTCTCTAGTCTGTACGAATTCAAATTCACCAAAATAAAAGATGATTCTTCTTCTTACTGTTGTGCCTTTTTTTCCCCTTTCTCTTTTTAATAATTATTTCCTTACTTTTCTTTGGTCCTTCGAATCGTACTCAGCTATGAACTTATTATTCTGTCAAGCCAAAATTAAACCTATATATATATATATTCATATGTTCTTATGTATTGAATTTTAAGCTTATCCTAGGAAATTCTCATTACTACATATATGTTGCATTTGATTTAGTATGAGATACACATGCATGGCTTTTGACATGTAACTGGTGGTGCCCATGGGATGGTTCAGATGAAAACCTCTTAGCTAGCTAGTAGCTACAACATCATCATCCACATCATCAACTACATCAGATATACTAATTATTAATAGAGCTATATTAATTTTGAGCAAATTTGTTTAACAGATTAGATATTGGTGACCCAAAATATGTAAGAAATGTGATTATATATACATATATATAGTGAAAAATATTAGCAGTCCACAAAATATAAAGGGTCAAAAAGAATGGTGGGGATTCCATGGTTGGTTGTGATGTACGTATATCACATCGAAAGCCTAACCACAAGAAAGCAGTAGCCAGATTGCAGATATCGGACACGTGTACGGCCAAGTAGTACTTGAGGGTACCCTTACCAAATATATACCATTCATATAATAATTAACTAATAATATTATGTATTCATGATTCTAGGGTGATTAAATATTTATTATGAATGAAAAAGCCTTGGGAGGAGCATATACTATCGTCCATCCTCCATGATCCATATATTAATTGTCTTTCTTTACCATTAGCCATTAGCCATTAGCCATATTAGCCCTTAGCCATTACCACCGAATTGGAATTGGAATTGGAATTGGATAAAAAAATCGAAAGAGAGGAAAAAGAGGACATCTTCAAATGGGATTAGTATCAATATTCCATGCACCATGCTGCATGCAACTTTCTTTTTGGTTTCAAAAGTTGCATAATTGCTGTGAAATTGAGTGCATTCAGAGAGAGAGAGAGAGAGAGAGAGAGAGAGAGAGGGAATATCTAATAAAAAAGATGAAACATTCATGTTAAAGAATATAATATTTGCCTCCAAGGAAAGGAATATCTTCGTTCCAATTCTACGACTCTAAATTAAGGGAACAAAACCCACAAAGCTTAAAGGGAAATTGAAAAACCATTACCACCCCAAAAAAGAATAATAAAGAAGCCTAAGAGAAGGGAATCTTCTTCTGCTACTCACTTTAATGAAGTGGGTTGGAAGGTAAGAAGATTCTTTTTTTTTTAAAAAAAAAAATTAGGGGAATTTTCCTAGGGTTCTGAACCTCCATAGCAATTAATCCCGATTCGCCTTTGAATGAATATAAATATATATTATTTTGAGAGCTATAGCTCAAAAATCAAATAGGTTCTGGATAAGAAATACCCACTTCGATTTATAGCTCCTAATTAGACTTTGTCCTTTTTATTAGGAGGAAGAAAAAAAGTATCTATAAGGATTTTTCTGATTATTCAACTGCTAATAATGGATTACAACTCGTGAAAAGAGAACTTAAACTTTTCAAGTACTAATGAAAAAGGGAGAGATAAGACTTCACCCTCAAGACTAATGCATTGTAAAACAAAATGATAAAGATGCGTACCAATAGTGTATAGTAAACTATTAAAACTTGAAATAAATATTTCATAACCACGATTTTTTACTATATTATGTCACAATTTCCTAAGCATAGGCAAAGCGACCGTCTAAGGCCTCCAATTTATATAAATCCCTTACATATAACTAGTATGTCACTATACATAAAACCCCGACTCTAGATATGAAAAATATGTTATGCCCAATAATTCAATCCAAATTTAAGAAGAGCTCAACTCGAAGAAAAAAAACCCGCTTATTCAATAAATTCATAGTATAAGCTAATTAACATATTTGAATCAAATTAAGAAATAAAATGCATTGAGATCAATTTCACATGTTTGAACTCTGAAAAAGAATTCCAAGTATGATGATTGATAATTTCTTTTAATTTTGAATTTCATGCTTTGTTTTTTGGGAAATTAGTCTTGAATTTTCATTTTCAGTCAAGATTCACAATCTTGAAGACCTTTTTTTGGTGCATATGTGTAAGTAAATATGTATTATTATAATAGAATTTGAGTAAAAAGTTTGTTTTATCCCTTTATTGTTGTGTACAATATGAATTACATATGATGTTTGTTGTTTTTTTTTAATGTTACAATCTTAATTTTGAGTTCATATAATATTTTCTCGAAATCCTTATGGTAACAATAAATAGCATGAATGAATGTACATAGAAGGTCGAAGATCACATTTTTGTGGTTCGTCTAGGGCATCCAAAACATTAAGACCACATATGCTGCATAACTTGGGGTGATGGCATGCAACTAAACAATGAAAAATTGTTCTGTCCAATATCGATCCCAGCACCATTTTCAGGCAAAATAACCTTAGCATGGTGAGACAGATATATGCAATGCAGACCTTTTCTACTGAAAATGAACAAAGTCGGAGGGAGAGAGAGAGAGAGAGAGGACTTTATGAAATTGCATTTGCATCGAATTCTCTTTTATCTGTTACAAAGACAAAGACAAAGGGAGAGAGATAGAGATGTGCAATAATAATGATGGTTGGTCGCTTTCTAAAATCAGTCTTCTCGTACAATACTCCAACCCAAACCTTTTCTGCAGATTCTCTCTATCTCCCTCTCATTCTTCATTTCTTTCTTTTTTTTGTTTTTGTTGTTCTTTTCCAATGGGAAGTAAAGGAAAAGAAATCAAAGGAAAGAGATTCTCCTCGTGACACGTGTCGTGATATTCCACCATATCGTCCTTCTGAATATCCCTTTTGTCTGGCGCAAAAATAAAGGAATATTCCCTTTTCCTTTTCCTTTCCCGTTTTCCAATTATGAATTGCATTACAATTTTACAGGCTACACCCAACATTAAAAATTGTGTTCAAAACAGAAACCGAGGTGCTAAAGAAAGAAAGCTCTGCCTGCCCGAATTGGCCCCTCTTTTTCGCTGAAATCCATGTAATGCCTATACCCTAGTCCTACTAGGTTCTACTCCACTCTGTTTCTAACTAACCAAATCACAAGTTAACAATTTAGAAAATAAAAGTTAACTTGTATAATATATAAAAGACATTGTTTCAAGTGTAAGGAGAATGACACATGTAAAGTAAAAAAAAGAAGAAGGTTCAATGGAAAATGTTAGGGAGAAGGTTGCTAACATTTCCCTTTACGAAGAGATATATCTCTTTATCCCAACGTCATGCACCCATTTTCCTTTAATCACGTTATGTTACTGTCACGTGAGAAGATAGATAAGAAACATGGGATACATGTGTTGCGTTCGTTACACCAAGTTTTCTCCACAAGCTTGTTATTTTCTTTATGCATGCGCGTGCATGGCCATGGTCTAAAACAGAATGGAACCTTAGTCGTTGTTGGCATATAATAATACATCGGTCTTCTAATTCCTTCTTGTTTTTTTGAGTTTTTGATGCTTAGAAATTACAATGGGTTTCACACGGGCCAAAAGTGAGATCCCCCGAATAGCCTATCTTATATTTTATCACAAGCATTTGGACACCAACTTTACCGTGAAAAGCCCAGTTATTAGGTTAGGAGGACCACTATTTTTTCACAGAAATTCCCTCTCCACTAGTCCAAGCTCAACTTTTCCCATGGTATGTTCATGCATAATTAAAAGGCCTCAGATGCTGCTGTATATGATCATAATGTCAAGAATCCAATTTTTTTTAATTTTTTTTTGGGGGCTAAAGAATTAGATGTATTTTTTGAAGAACACACACACATATATATATATATATATACGGAAATTTTCCTATGCGAACGTCCAGATGTTATTATCTTGCAGACGCAATGTATTTCCTACTACCAATCTTTATTTTCTCCCTTTTTATAATGGTATTCTCACAATAATAATGTGCAGACATGCAGATGAGAGAATAACTATATACTAGTTTTAAAGTTTTTAAATTACTGGAACACTAGCTCCAACCTAAACGATATAAGAAAATTCATCTCACTGCCAACTGAAAGGTGACATGTGTACTATATTATGTAACAAATTAATACAATAAGTACATTTTAAATAAAGTCCTACTGATTTAGTATATGCGACAAGGATGGAGTCCTAATCAGTCTTTCTCCTCAGCATGACCAAAAGTCTAGTTTGAAACAGGAATATTATGAAAATGTCAGATTCTATTCCATTCTATCTATCCACTAATTCATCTAAATCTACTTTATTTTTCAGGAACTAACTAGTTATATATGGCATATAAGAGAGAGAGAGATATATATATATATATATATATATAAATCAACTTGTTTCAAATTGGATGCCGAAAATAATATTTATAAAAATAAAAAGAAACGAATGAGCTTTATATGAAATATTCTTAAATGTATAATTAACTTTGCGGAAAGGCAATGAAAGGTACATTTACGGCTGTAAGGTTTGTCAATGAGAATCATGAACTAAATATTTCTGATGATAAATGGATTGTTCTACTAAATTC